CTATGGTTGTGTGAAGTATACAGAAGATGCTAAGCTTAGATAACAGTGCGAAGAGCGCTGCTCTTACAGTAGAACAGTAATGCGAAGACGCGATATCATCATAACTTTGTGTAAGGAGCCAAATTTATGAAAATCGACCTTACTACATCGAATAAACAATGCAAGTTCGCAGGAAACTCTGCAGTTGTGACATTCGCAGATAATTTTGTTGGTTTAGAGCGATTAGCTTACTAAATTTCTACAGTACGGTTATTTAGATTGGGGCATGATGTTCGAATTTACTTGCTCAAAAAGTCTCACGCACAACTATCATCTACATTACCTATAGGAGGCGAAGATGGACTAAATAAGGCAGTTAAGACTACATATTTGTCACTCGTCACACACGGACACTGCCTTTAAGAACCAAAGCGCAGGGTGACCTTGCCGAGACATAATAAGTTCGGATTTCAGAAAGACCTCAGTAGAGCCGCTTCTATGTGCAGCATCTTAATTACAAGAATTCATGGATACGCCGCTGGCTAATAGTTACCTTGCATGTTGAAATCGCCTACCGATTCTAATTGCTACCCAGTTCTGCATCTAAACTGCAACTCGAGAGCACCATCCTTGTGAAAAGCGCCCCAATTCATCATGTTACCGCAGCCGAAATCTGAAGATTTCTCATGGTCTACCACCTCATCGTGGCCCGCGGTGGCTCTGCATGTCGAACTGCGAGGTACAGGAAGGTTTATACTCCAACAGGCTCTCCCAAGCTGAAAAGGAGTTTGACGTTTCCGGCTCCCCGGATGCCCAGCTAAGAGTAGGCCATGCCAGAAGCCCACCGTCTGGCTGACTAAGTCACTAGGTGATTCCCTATCCACATAGGTCAGCGATTGCCTATGGGGAAAGCTTGGCAATCCTTGTTAAGGCTTGGTAAGGCTGCTAAGTTTGGGTACTTAATTTATTTCTTGTACAGATGTAATAGGAAAAGAAGCCCTGCACACTGGATCACATTTCCAGCGTCGGATGTCATCAAGACCAGTGCCAAGTTGTACAGGACGGATTTCGGACCAAAAGACACGTCAACGACTTGAAATGGAGATTGTATGCTCTTCACCTACAATGCTAGGACCGTCTCCACCACCGTCAATCTTCACGCCTTTTTCGAAGCTGTAGGGCGCATCAACTATCACGTAAACTCGTTGCAGGAAACAAACTGATGAAAGACGGACGTGAGGCAGCTGAGTGATGGCATACTCATATTCGTAGTGAGAAAGTTCCATCACGGAACGTTAAATTTGTCGTACATCCATATGTTGTCCATCTTGTCGATTCGCAAGAAATCCTATCACCTCACCTGGCTATCCTGCGACGTTCGTCTGCATCAGAAAACCACTACTATCACCAACTGCTATTTTCCAACATCAGCAGCTGATGGCTTGGAACTTGATGCATTTCATGAGGATTTGGAGGAAGTCATCCGCAAAGAGAAGGACATGTCAGAAGAAGAGGAGCATAGGATCGAGAGATTTGGATCATGACCCCGAAACGAGATTGGTGACGTCTAGTTAAGCAACTCCACCTTCATGAAGAAAGAACATTGGTGGTGGACAAGGAAATCGCCCAACAGTACGACTCATGCGGAGAACAACCACATTCTCACCAACCGAAGGCATACTGGACGTCTCAGTGGCATACTTCGGCAGTGGTTCTAATTACCGTCTCCTTCAAGCAAAAGTGCGATTCAGCCGAAAGCTGGAAAAGAAGATGTGCCGCCGTGTTGGAAGTAGAAGAGAATTCAGACGGCGTCAGATTAGGGGAGCCCCTGACCATTTGTGACTGGCCCATCGAGGAGTACCCAACGAAGGACTACAACCTGCTTCTTAGAGGACTGAGGGCCTGTACTGAAAGTGCCTCAGTGCCTCGAACAAGGAAATTGGAACGAATTCCGAAAGTCACCAAGAGCTAGAGAGGAGAGAACTGGCTGAATCCGACTGCACCACATCTCGAGCGACTGGTAGCCAATACCAATTGCAGAACAGCTTTGCAAGAGGATCTTCGAAAGTACACGCAATCAAAACTTTTAAAAGCAGTACAATGAAAGAGAAGTTTAGAGTGGTACCGCAGGGACCTTCTCGACCATTGTGTTCCGCCGACAGCACTAGAAGACGACACATCTTCCCGACAAAAGATAAATCGATCGCGAAGAGATTCTACACCAATCTCTTCCGCTCTTCAACACCCGTGTCAAACCCCCCTGTAGAAAGACCACCATCTACCTGCTAAAGTACGCGCCGCAAATCAGACCATGAAGGCCACGGCTCCGAAACAGGACCACGATTCGACCGACCTATTACACGAGATGCTTGCAAAGTATCTATCGTCTTACCTTTTTCCGGCCAGTGGAGAACCTCCCGAACAATCCTTCTTCATAAGAAGGGCGATAGGGAGGATCTTCGGAACTA